TTTTAAATGTAATAAGTTCTCTCACTTTTCATGAGATGCAAATAAAATTTTAGGCGTCAATTTCTAATACCTGGTAGGCTAGTAAAGTTTCCGAACTGAAAAGTAGAGAAGGCTTATAACTAAATTAAAGTCTCCCAGTTAAACCTCACTATTCCATTTTCCTCCAGTAATGACTGCTCTTTTAAAAAACAAATGGAGGGGTGCCAGGGTGGATCAGTCATTAAGCGTCTGCGTTCAGCTCAGGTCATGGTTCCAGGGTCCTGGGATCGAGCCCCGCCATCGGGCTCCCTGCTCAGTGGGAAGCCTGCTTCTCCCTCTCACACTCCCCCTGCTTGTATTCCCTCTCTCGCTGTGTCTCTGTCAAATAAATAAATAAAATCATTAAAAAAAACAAACAAACAAACAAATGGAATCACTGGGTCAATACCATAGACACTGAAGAAACCCTGTTCTGTGGTAATACTGCCAGAGCAAATCTATTTAATTTTTTTCAATTTCTTTCATTATAGTAAAATATATACAACAATATTTACCATCTTAACCATTTTTAAGCCTGCAGTTCAGTGGTATTAAATAGTTTCATAATGCTGTCCTACCATCATGACCATCTCCATAACCTTTTTCATCTTGTAAAACTGAAACCTATTAAACAATATCTCCCCATTCTTCCCTCCTCTCCAGGTCCTAGGAACCACCATTTTATTTTCTGTCTCTATGATTCTGACTATCCTAAGTACCTCATCTAAGCAGAATCATACAGCATGTCTTTTTGTGACTGGCTTATTTCACTTAGCATAATGTCTTCATGGTTCACCCATGTTGCAAGATATGTAAGACTTTCCTTATTTTTTTTTACCATAATGAAATACCACTTTATGTCCTATTTAAAGAGGATATGGATTGATGGTGTCTCTTATATACAATGAACAGAGCATAAGTTAATGCCAACATTTTGGAAAGTAATATAAACATTCACAAACTCATGACCTGGGTATTACACTCCTAGGTTCATAGTGAAAGGAAATTCTTACTGATGTGCAATGAAAGACAATGTCCAGAATGTTCAGAGCAGTAAGAATTTCCTTACCCCTTTTCCTTTTCAGTGGTAAAAACCCCAAGTACAGGGAGACAGGGGGATAGAATGGTGGTATGGTATGAAGAATGACAGTACTCCAAAGATGTCCACATCCTAATCCCTGGAACTATATTACCAGTTTATTTAAAAGAGTGTAACTCAGATTATTGGTTAGCTCTCAGTGTTGTGGGGCAGGGAAAGGAAGAGATGAGGAAGGAAAGGAAGATATTATTTAATTTTAAATAAATTTAAATAATTTTAAATTAAATTAAATTAAATTAAAAGGATATAACATAGAAATAGCCAGGTGGAGGAGATGCATAGGACAAGATCTGAGGAAGAACAGAGAGCTTCCATGCCCTCTCCAAGCGCACCACTCTCCCCAAATCATGTGTTCACCAACCAGGAAGCTCCTGCCTTCCTTTTTAAGAGTGAATAACATTCCATTGTATGTGTATACCACATTTTGCTTATCTATTCATCTGCTGATAGATGGTGGATAGCTTCCACATAATGGAGTAATAAATAGTGAATTCATAATAATAACAGTGATAATGCTACTATGAACATGGGTGTACAAAATCTATCCAATTTTGACAACAAAATCTCATTTCAATCCATTAACCTGTATGTACACCACAGACACAAAATCTAGAGTAGAGAAGGAAAGTGAAAAGGATGACTTTTTTTTTTTGTAACATGTCTAATTTCTTCTAAGTTGGCCTCACCAAATCTAGACTATGAAAACTTTTCATGCCTCTTAGTATAGTGTTATTTTTTATGGCTTTTTGACTTTTCCTGTAGAGTCTCCAACTCACATTTGAATATTTCCCACATCTCCAGCTTCAATATTTTATCTTATTTTATTTTGGCTTTTTTAAAGATTTTATTTATTTATTTGAGAGAGAAGAGAGAGAGAGAGCACAAGGGAGAGGGAGAAAGAGACTCCCCACTGAGCAGGAAGCCTGCCATGGAGTTCAATCCCAGGGGCCTGGGATCATGACCCGAGCCGAAGGCAGATGCTTAACCAACTGAGCCACACAGGCAACCTCATCTTCCACCTTCAAAACTCATTTTACATCCTGCTTTCACCAAACTACCTTCCTAAGTGCTTTACTTTCTGTTAACCTGAAAGAAAGAAAGAAAGAAAGAAAGAAAGAAAGAAAGAAAGAAAGAAAGAAGGAAGGAAGGAAGGAAGGAAGGAAGGAAGGAAGGAAGGAAGGAAGGAAGGAAGGAAGGAAGAAAGAAAGAAAGAAAGAAAGAAAGAAAGAAAGAAAGAAAAGAAAAGAAAAGAAAAGAAGGAAGGAAGGAAGGAAAAAAGAAAGAAAGAAGAAAGAAAAGAAAAGAAAAGAAAAGAAAAAAGAAATGGTGACATTTATGGTATGTGAATTATATCTTAATCAAAAATAAAAATAAAGCTCTGTTCTCACGTAAAAAAAGGAAAAGAAAAAAAAAAGAAACAGAACATGTTTTGTTAAAGTACCCCTAAAAGGTTTCTAAAGTACCCAGTAAATTATTAAACTATGAATCAGCAATAATGAAGTCTATTTTAAAAAGCAAAAATTTGCAAGGCACATAAATAGAGTATTAAAGACAGAATTGCAAGTTAATCCACCCACTACCTAACAATAGCAAGTTCTTTTAATTTTTTTCATCTGAGACAAGATACTGAAAATGTGCCAATAATTCTGAAAAACACTGGGAATGATCAGAAGATTAGGAAATAAGAAAAAAAGTTGTGTTTTTTTTTTTTTAACCTGGAATTAGACTGGAAAAGAGAAATGTGAAGTACAAAGAACCCAAAAAATATGGCCACATTACAAATGTACCATACTCCTAGTCTACACATCTTAAGGATAGCTCTCTGATACAATTCAAAAAGTGAAAGAGACATAGAACAACACCCATTTGTCTTGAGACAGGTACTAATCATAAACACAAAGATTTATGGCCTGCTGAAAACAAATCTTTCACAGTTTTTCTTTATTGTTAATTAGATAATTTCATATTGCATTGTTTTCTGCAATAGAGAGTACAACAGGATAAATTAACATGTTAAAATACAGAAATGTCAAAATGAAGCCAATTAGTATAATAGTGGCAGGTTTATCTAAGATTCAAAAAATAATTTATAAGTTGGGCCTTTAAGAATCCACATTCTTTTAAGTGATTGCCTTAATCGTTCAGTTTATTTCTTGGGTGACTTAAGATCAGCTTGTCAACACAAAAGAAGTATTCTTTTAAGGCTTTCCAAGATTTCCAGTATCTCATCTTTACCAGAAAGCCTATTTAATGGCAGCCAATTTGCAAACATCAAATTTAAGATTACAGCTTCAGTACAACAAGAAGAAAGAAATTAAAGTTCACTTCAAGTATTTATGTTGGCATAGACTGAACAGACTACTTAAGAAAAAACTGACACCAAGGGCTCCATTTTGCCATCACTCATGTGCTGCATGCACCACTTTTCACATTACTTTAATCAAGAGACAGACATAATAAGTCTATCATTTAAAGTACGCAAATTCATTACTCCTTCTTTGTGAAAGTTTGACATCTTGGCGTATGTCACACATTTGCAAACTAAGTATGCATTCCACTTGAAAGGACAAAGAAAAAAGAAGCTAGAATAACTTAGTTTTTTAAGTTTGTATTTTCATCAAACAAGAAAACTAAGTGGGTGCTTACAATATAAGACTGCTAGAGTCAATTTTATCATCACTACATCTTCAAATTTCCTACAATTATTCAGAACTTAACATTGTAATTGACCCCAACAACTAAAGCACAAAAGCACACTACATAGCAGACAATGCCTAATTAACATTTAATGACAACAAAAAAATACTTCTATTATTTACATAGATATTCCAACAAAAACCCTACAATAGTCATTTTGTTCTAGATCTATGGAAAAGAAAAAGCACGACAAGAAATAAAAAGAAATTCTTCAATTATATACTCTAATTATAATTTGAAATACAATTTTCTTTAAAGATTTATTTATTTATTTGAGAGCGCACGCAGGAGCACAGACGGAGGAGGGGCAGAGGGAGAGAGAGAATCTTCAGGTCAACTCCCCACTGAGTACACAGCAAACACAAGGCTCCATCCCAGGACTCTGAGATCATGACCTGAGCCTAAATCAAAAGTCGGCGCTTAATCAACTGAGCCACCCAGGTAACCCTATAATTTGAAATAAATTTTAATAAATTAATTTCATTCACTTAAAACCATTTTTCAAGAAATTACAAGTTTTCCCAATATTTCTATTTTTTTTTTCTTTAAGTACTCGCCACAGCCCAACATGGGGCTTGATGTTCTACCAACTGAGCCAGCCAGGCACCCCTTTGCAATACTTTCATCTTTTGATCACAGCATTTCCTTGTTCTTAATGCTTTACATTTGATAGCTTTGCAAGAAAATGTAATAACAAGCATAGTAAATATTAAAGATTTACTAAAAATTACTGTCCTATTGACAGCAGTGAAGGCTGGCAAAAGAACTGTTTGGGGAGGTTTTTTTTTTAATACCTTAAGACAAATATGACAAAAATCTGATTAGAAAAAAATAATTTTCATGTCTTCTAACACAAATATATACTTTCTATTCAAATACTTCCATACATCCACACATATAATGTAAAGAGATAATGATCACTGACTATGTGCCGGGCACTATGTCAAATGCATTACACTTAACAGCAATTTCTAATTGAGTGATTTCTCACAGCAACTGTTAACCTTATTTTACATATGGGGCAGAGGTGAGGTACAAAGAGGTTATACAATTCACCCAAAGCCACAGTCAATGACAGAGCTAGGATTCAAACCCAGTCTGGCTCCATATCTGATTTCAGAATTACTATACTACATTGTGTAGAAGGTACACCTGGTACATTATCATACTGTCTATCTCTACTTACTCTGTGATAATTCCGGATTTCCTTTCAGATTCATCATCTTCGGAATTGAAGGGCCATACACATCCACATCTAGCAAGCCAATGGCCTTTGACTGTAAGGAAACAGAATTTACTTTAAGATTATTTCCACTCTTTGTCAAAGATAACACACATAGCAATAGTAAATCTAACTATAAAATAAAGACAATTCGCAAAATATTCCAAAATCCTAACCTAAACTTTCAAAGCAAAAGTAAGGTAAAAGATCATAAAGTACTTAGATGAATACTTTTTGTTGGTTTACTAATTTCTTCTAAATAACTGAGGAGAGAAACCCCCTGCAAATGCTTTACACCTTATGGTTCAGATCTCCCATATAGTCTCAAATAGACTATGACTTTTTGATCTGAAGAATAACAAATTACACACAATGTTAAAATAATGACTTACAATGGCCTACAAAAACCACAGGAAGATGGAGCATCAACCTTTGGAAAGCCCATCTAACACACCTAAGAATACAAAATGAAAGAAAAAATCATGGGAATAAGACTGTAATAAAGTAAGTGAGAAATTCTGACACAGATCTGGCATGGAAATGCTAATGAGGACGGTGGCAGACATAATATAGAGACAACCTCTTATATGGAAGTCACAGTTAAACACCCAACATCTTCTGGAGAAGTCATAAACAACTAAAACTGTTTTTCATTGATGACCCATCTACCTACCAAGGGCAGAATATCCTGATTGTCCCCTTTACTAGTTGCCAGTTCATCAGCAACATAGGCAAGTAAAGGGAAACAAACTTCACTATTCCCGAGTATGTCTTTTTTTCTTCTCCCTGCTCCTATTTTTCCTTTAATAGACTAAATCAATCTGTTACTGGTTTTTCCATATACAAGCAAATAGAATGCTAATACTAACTATATGTCTTTGAGTTATGTTTCACCAAGACTTAGAATTCTCCTCCCTCTCTCCCTGTATCCTGGCAAGATAAAATTCTTAACCTCTCAAAAAAACCTTTTTTAAATTAAATAATCCCCCATCTTCCATGTTATCTACCTATTTGCAGACACAAAATTACTTTTTAAACCTTGCTGTCTGGTTCCTATTAATACATAAAATAAGGTACATTCGACATTTATGTCCCTAACTTTATACTAAAACTGCAGTTCTAAGAAAACCATTCAATGTCCCTGTGTGACTCACAGAGCCTAGAGGACCAGGGATTAAAATCTGCCTCTACCAAAATCTCAGCTTACAGTAAAATAAATGAGAAAAGAGGAAGAACACTTTAACTTTAATAGAAAAGTAACATATAAAATTTAGGCTTAATGCATTTAAGTATTAGCTTTAAAAAGGTTGGAACTTTCCTGATGGGTATTAAAGAGGGCACGTACTGCATGGAGCATTGGGTGTTATACGCAAACAATGAATCATGGAACACTACGTCAAAAACTAATGATGTAATGTATGATTAACATAACATAACATAAAAAAAAAAAAAGGTTGGAACTTTCAATGAGAAATTCTGACCCATTCTAAACTCCTTTTTAAACCACAAACAAATTTAGTTAAACTAAACTAAAACAGAATTAAATTTACTGTGGAAAAAAAGATTTTCAGGGGTGCCTGGGTGGCTTAGTTGGTTAAGTGTCTGTCTTTAGCTCAGTCCGGGGATCAAGCCCCACGTCTGGGGATCAAGCCCCCGTCGGGTTCCCTGCTTAGTGGGGAGTCTGCTTCTCCCTCCCTCTCCCCCTGCTCCTTCTCTCTCTCGCGCGCGCTAATAAATAAGTAAATAAATCCTAAAAAAAAAAGATTTTCAAATGAGGGAGACTAAAACCTTAAGAAATGTAGGTAATTGTTAATACTATTATCTAAGGGTCTCCTAATGCTGAAGGGACTCCATTCTAGAAAGGCTCCATTTTTCTGGCAGGCCCCATTTACTCATGACCCATATTTGCCTCTGAATAAGCCAAAGAAGCTATGTTCCCACTTTAATGTTCCCTAGGCCCCAAATACCTGATAACATCTAAGAAGAGCTGAATCCCAAATGTGTTCCAGGACATCAGCTTTGAATAAACCTTGGCTGACACTGGCATCAATACTGCTACCTTCAGTAATTTATGAAATAACACCTATTGTTCACCTGACACTTGCCTTTGATCAGACCCTACCTGGATTCCCAAACGAACACATGCCCTAGATCCCTTTCCAATTTAAAACCCCTAGCCCCAAGCGACAATAAGACTCATTCTCTTTTCCTTTCCAAATTTCCCAGACAGGACATCTGCTATTCTCTGTCGTTCATGCTATTCAATAAACTCTTTCACTTTCTCCAGCTCATGTTTGATTTCTATCCTGCGCAAAGCCAAAGATCCTCTTGGCTGATCCTGTGGAGAACCCCCACTCTGGATCCGTGGACCCAGGCTGCCTACCTCAATATCATCCTAGAATTTCACTGCTTTCCCATATCTTTTCTCACGATACCTGCAAAAATTAAAAACTACCACAAAATAATAAATGTCAATAAAAACAAAAACTATTCTATGATTTTTTTTTTGCTTTGTTACTTATATTAATACTGGTTTTATAGTAACTTGAAAAGGTTAGGTCCCAGGTTTCAAAGTGATCTCCTAAAAATAAAGTCAAGTAAAATAACTCAGTTTTTAAATTTGTTTTCATCAAACAAGGAAACAACTAAGTGACCCTGCCAGGGTCAATTTTTTCATCACTCAATCTTCAAAATGTTAAGGAGAATCTATCTATCATCTATTTGTCCGGTCTCTTAGAAGAAAACCATGCCTGGGCGCCTGGGTGGCTCAGATGATTAAGCGTCTGCCTTCGGCTCAGGTCATGATCTCAGGGTCCTGGGATCGAGTCCCACATCGGGCTCCCTGCTCGGCAGGAAGCCTGCTTCTCCCTCTGCCTCTCTCTCTCTCTGTCTCTCATGAATAAATAAAGAAGAAAACCATGCCTGTCTAAAGGTGAACCCTTGGCATCAAGGTTCAAGACAAAACTCAAGATCTGCCCTAAAATTTGCTGTGGTAAAAACAGATTTTACACATACATAGATGGCTACACATAATCACGTAAGAATAAAGGGGGCAGCCACTCTCACACTCTCTCTCTAAAAAAAAAAAAAAAAAAAAAACGAATAAAGGGAGGGAGATTACAAGATTTTAGAGTTCCTTTGTTTCCTAGAAAATGGAACTAAGGATAAGAGAGAATCTTCTTTCTATGTGTTTGTTTCTCTGTATACTCTCCCTAGGAGTAGATACTACTCACTGACCTAAATTTAGTACCAAGGCTTACATATATCAAAAAGAAAACAGAGAGGAAGGTATGAAGTTCAGGAAGAAGACAAGACAAGAGAGACAAAGGCAGGGAAGGAGGGAGGGAAGAAAAGATGGAGGGAAGTTAATCACCAATGTTATATTAAGAACATAGATAAACTAGGACTCTATAGCCAGTTAGTTCTGTGGACAAATTAGAATTTAGAGATTTTTAGAAAATTTAAGAAAGAAAAAAAAAAAGGAAGAAAGAAAATTTTTAGAAAGCATGCCATCCTAAATTACCCAAATAAACACCTAAACTTCCCCTAACTATACCTCCTCATTGCTTGAATTCCTTCTTTGATGCCAAGCACCCTAAACATTTTATTTACATTTCTAACTGATTCCTCATAGCAACCCTGCAAGGTAGTATTATGCCTGCCTGTGGATGAGAAAGCTGGAAACTAGCACTCAAAATTATATATATAAATATATTATATATTATATTAAATAATATATTAAATAATTAAATATATTATATATTTACAAATATAAATATTTAAGTATTCTATCTTAAAATGCATTGTTTCTTAGAATGAAGCAGAATGAGAAATTAAACACAAAAATACTAACTTCATAAACCTCCACCAGAACTTTAAAATGATCTGACTGCAAAAAACTTAGATATAGAGCAGGGATCAGCACACTTTTCCCCACAGGGCCAAACAGTACTATTTTTGGCACTGTGAATCAAATGATCCATAACTACTCAACACCACCACTGTAGCACAAAAGCACAGACAATATGTCCATGAATGAGCATGGCTGTGTTCCAATAAAACTTTATTTACAAAAACAGTCAGGGTTTGGTCCACAGATCACAGTTTGCCAACTTCAATTTAGAGAATAAACTTTTTCATGACCAAGTTATTCAATCATCCAACAATCTAATTTTGTTTTTGCCAAGAGCAGGTAGGACACAGTCATCTCTTTTAGTGTCAAAAGAGCTATCTCATTAAAGATTTACTTCCATATCCTTAATTGGGTAGTTTTTAAAAACAATAAAGAGCATACTTTTCATGCTGTTTCACTGGTACTAAACATGTCTTAAATATCATGAATAAAATTGGTTCCATTAAACAAAAACACTAAGCCTACACTAATTAGAACGTATTTTACTTAGAGTTGGCATAGCTCCTGGACCAGTAATATTACCATAGCTACAAATATTAGCTTAAACAAGTATTTTCAACTCTAGAATTCAATAATGTTCAAAAGGTACCAAATAAAGCTCATTTGTTTTTCATAATTTACTCCATTATTTTTAAATAGGCTCTTATTATAGGTGTATAGTCTTTTAATTTTAATTTTCAAAGACAGTTTTATACTGTAAGAACATAAATGAGCAACATAGAAGGCTATAAATAAATATATGCAGCTGGGTGTCTAACTAGCTAAGTTTTATGAATCCTTTCTACCTCACTCCTCCTGAAATATTTATATTTAGTCAAGAAAGCTCCAATTAGGACTTCTCTTATATTTCATTTCATCCAGGCTTAAAAGAACATTCACTATAAAAGCCTCACCAAATACACAACAGATAAAATGATTATTAGCAAAAATAACTATAAACTTACTATTTTAAAGTATGTTGCCCAATCTTTAACATCATCATATATGTAACCTAATATGTTGGTACCTAACATTATACTCTTTCTCTGACTCTCCTGAAGTTCTCAAAATCTAGCAGATGACATAAAAGAAGAAAGATCAAACCCCAAAATACTATTTAGATTTGGGGATTTGTTTCTTTATAATTCATATTACCCTGTAAA